TGGGGACAGCCCTGTCCTGTCCCCTCCCGCGTCCCTGCCCCCCTCCCCGGGGTCCCTGTCCCCCGGGGTCCCTGTCCCACAGATCAGTGCGGGGACAGGACTATCCCCCTCCCCAGGTCCCTGTCCCTTCCCCGTGGTCCCTGCCCTGTCTGGGGTCCCTGTCCCACAGATCAGTGCGGGGACATGGAGACAGTCCTGTCCTGCCCCCCTCCCCATGATCCCTGCCCTGTCTGGGGTCCCTGTCCCACAGATCCATGTGGGGACAGCCCTGTCCTGTCCCCTCCCGCGTCCCTGCCCCCCTCCCCGGGGTCCCTGTCCCCCGGGGTCCCTGTCCCACAGATCCGTGTGGGGACATGGGGACAGTCCTGTCCTGCTCCCCTCCCCATGGTCCCTGCCCTGTCTGGGGTCCCTGTCCCACAGATCGGTGCAAAGATTTGGGGACAGCCCTGTCCTGTCCCCCTCCCCTGGGGTCCCTGTCCACAGATCAGTTTGGGGACATGGGGACAATCCTGTCCAGCCCCCTCCCCGGGGTCCTTGCCCCCTCCCCCGGGTCCCTGCCCTGTCTGGGGTCCCTGTCCCACAGGCAGTGGGGGCACAGCCCCGTCCTTCCCCTCCCCGGGTGTCCCTGGTTGTCCCTGCCCCATAGCACAGTGTGGGGATGGCCCTGCCCCTACTCAGAAGCACGGTTTTGGGGTCACCTCCCTGGTCACTGCACCGTGGCACAACTGGGTGTCCACACCCCTTGGGGTGCCCGTGCTGACCCATGGGGTACCCACAGCTGTCCCCATGGGATGCCTGTGCCAGCCAGACCGGCAGGATCCGTCCCCGTCCCCCTTTGCTCCATGTCCCCCAGGCTGATCGTGCTGTGGTTGGAGGACGGGAGCACATCCCGGCTGATATCGGGGTGCCCAGGCTGTGCTGGGGTGGCCCCACCACCCTGGGGCCACCCCGGCCGCTCACCCTGCTCCCCGTGTTCCCCAAGGGAAGGTGCCAGCCAGCAGCATCCTGGCCAGCGCTCCCACGGACAAAAACCTGGATGCTTGGCGGGTGAGTGGGGACGTGGGATGACAAGCCACCCCGCTCGGTGGCCGCGGCAGTGGGAGACATGTTGGGGTGCCCCTTGCCACGATTTCGGGGTATCCTTTCCTGCCCCATGCAAGGATTTGACTCATCCTTCCCAGGTCTGGGTGAAATCCAGGCAAAACCTCAGTGGTTTTACAGCCAGAATGGGTCCCCACAACTTGGCCCTGCATGAAAACGTGCTTTGCCCGTGGGGGTGCCGAGGTTTGGGGGGGCCCCGCTGTGACACCTCTCCCTGCCCGCGGGCAGGAGTCAGGCTGCCGGACCACGCACTGCAACCTGGAGGTGCTGCAGGAGAGCACTTTGGTCTTCCTGGCCACCAAACCCCACGTCCTGCCAGGCGTCCTGCAGGAGATCCGTCCTGCCGTGGGTCCCCACCACATCGTTGTCTCATTGGTGGCCGGCGTCACCCTTCAGACCCTGCAGCGGGTGAGCTTCCTCCTCCTCCTCCTCCTCTTCCTCTTCCTCCTCCTCCTCAGACCCATGGAGAAGGACACGCTGCTGTGGCTCTGTCCCTGTCACATCCCGCTCAGATGAGGGAGACAAGTGACTCAGATTTGCAAATCCCCAACGGAGCGGACAACGGTGAGACAAGTGTCAAAGTCCAAACATTTATTAACTACCCACAAGGTACTAATTGGACACATGATAATTGGCTAAGTAGAACGAGTTGTGGCAAGCAATACAGTATGCCTTGCATTGCTTAATGGTAGTGAAGGAAAAAGGGGAAAAAGGAGGGAATAGAGATCACTGGTCTGAGTTTCTACGTCAATCCCAGCAGCGAGGGTTCTTCTTTGCTTCACTTCACTTCACTTACCAAAAACCCCGTCCTTTCCTCCCCTTGATTTATACCCCCTTCCCTTGGGTCCATCCCCTAGGTTGACCTACATTCCTACGTATCCCATGGGTGGGGAGGGGTCAGGTGTTCCACGGGATGATGTAATGAGCGTGATCATGTTCGTCTTCGTTAGCATACGCAGGGCTGTTAACTTTAACATGCAATCGTGGATAATGAAGCAAAGGTCATTCACTGGACAGATGGCCCTTGAAATCTGGCCAGGTGCCCCAGAGCAGAACCGTCCTGTGTCCACAGGGCTCCCCCCTCCAGCTGCACCCTGTGTGGTGGACTGTAGTTTCATCTTGTGAGTGTCTGAGGTGTTTCTTAACTCAGGGCCTCAACTTTTATCTCTTTCTCAGGCTGTTTTTCTCAGTCCATGTTTCACAGAATCCCAGAATCCTTCAGGTTGGAAAAGCCCCTCGGGGTCAGCGAGTCCAACCTTCAGCCTGACTCTACAAAGTTCTCCCCTACCCCACATCCCCCACAGCTCATCCCAACGGCCCTGAACCCCCCCCAGGGATGGGGACTCCCCCCTCCCTGGGCAGCCTGTTCCACTCTCGCACCACTCTTGCTGGGAAACATTTTCTCCTCCTGCCCAGCCTGACCCTCCCCTGGGGCAGTTTCCAGCCGTTCCCTCTTGTCCTGTCCCTGATCCCCTGGGAGCAGAGCCCAGCCCCGGCCTCTCTGCAATGTCCTGTCAGGAGCTGCAGAGAGGGATGAGGGCTCCCCTCAGCCAGCCTCCTCCTTCTCACACTGAACAGTTTCTTGCAGGCCTGGTTTTTCCCCTCACAGTCCCCTACTCAGGTTGCATCCCCAGCTCCTTCCCCGTGGATTTCTCTGCCAGCCCCATGGGTGATACCCACCGGTGTCTCAGGCGCACCTTTGGGTTATTCCCGGACCTGGCACCTCTCTCCCATCCCCATCTCTCCCCAGGTTCTCCCCGCCGGGACCAAAGTGCTGCGCCTCATGCCCAACCTGCCGTGCGTGGTGCAGGCAGGGGCCATGGTCTTCGCCCGGGGCAGCGGTGCTGGTGACGGGGAAGCTGCCCTGCTGAAGAACCTTCTGTCCTCCTGCGGGCTCTGCGAGGAGGTCCCCGAATCCTACATCAACATCCACACCGGCCTCAGCGGCAGCGGCGTGGCCTACGTAAGCCCTGTGCTCAGTGGGCATCAGCGGGGCACTGGCAGAAATCCCACCCGTGTGGGATGGAAGTTTAGGGGGGGGTCCCCTGCCTTTTGCCATGCTCACCCCCCATGTTCTTCGCCCCCAGGTTTACCTGTTTGCCGAAGCTTTGGCTGAGGGGGCGGTGAAGATGGGGATGCCGAGCGGTTTGGCCAGCAGGATCGCGGCTCAGACGCTGCTGGTGAGTCGGTGCTGTCGCTCAGGGACACCCAGAGTTGCTCCTCTCTCTTTTGTCCCCCAGCTCCCACACAGCTTGGGCACTCCATCGCCATCGCTGCCCTGGGCTCTGCAGCACCCAAGAAGGTGGCAGAGTGAGGGAGGAGGCGGTGGGTGACCTCCTGCCTCAGTTTCCCCTCTTGAAACTGAAGATGAGGCCACCAGAAGACAGCGAAGGGACGGGGGCTCCAGCACCTTGACCTCCATGGCAGGAGTGTGGGCGATGGGAGGATGCTGCCAGCCAGCCCCTGGGCAAGGAGAGGGGAGGTTTGGGAGGTCCCCATCTCTCTGACCCACCCTGGGTTCCCATAGGGTGCAGCGAAGGTGATGCTGGAGACGGGGGAGCACCCGGCGAAGCTGCGAGGAGACGTTTGCACACCCGGGGGCACCACCATCCACGCGCTGCACCAGCTGGAGAAGGGGGCACTGCGGGCCACTGTCATGAACGCCGTGGAGGCGGCCACCAAGCGGGCATGCGATATGGCCGAGGACTAGTGACCTGGTTGGGGATGATAAGCCCCTCCATCCTACCTCCCACAGGGAAAAGAGGGGCGATGGGGAATAGACTGAACCCCTTCAGGGACCCCGACACCTCTGTGAGACCCTGGCTGGGGGTGGGAGATGGTGTGGAATCATGTCCATGCCACGTGCTAACTCTGCAGGGCTGGAACTGAATAAATGTGGGCAGCACGGTGGAAAACTGTTTCTGGTCCCTTCAATCCTGGGGGGCTACTGCACCCAGTATGGGGTCACCTCCATGGGAAGTTGACAGCCAGGGGTCCCTGGGCCAGCAGGGATCACAGAATCCCAGAACCATCGAGGTTGGAAAAGCCCTTGAACTCCTCCAGCCCCACCATGACCCTCCCCCTGACCGTTCCCAACTCCCCCAGACCCCTCAGCGCTGGCTCAGCCCGACTCTTCAACCCCTCCAGGGATGCCGGGGACTCCCCCCTGCCCTGGGCAGCCCATTCCAACGCCCAACAGCCCCTTCTGCACAGAAATCCTTCCTCAGAGCCAGCCTGACCCTGCCCTGGGCAGCTTGAGGCCATTCCCTCGGGGCCTGGCGCTGGGGCCTTGGCTCCAGAGACTCATCCCCCCTCTCTGCCCCCTCCTGGCAGGGAGTTGCCAAGGGCCAGGAGGTCTCCCCTCAGCCTCCTCTTCTCCAGACTGAACCCCCCCAGTTCCCCCAGCCGCTCCCCAGCAGACCTGTGCTCCAGACCCTGCCCCAGCTCCGTTGCCCTTCTCTGCCCACGCTCGAGTCATTCAATGGCCTTTTTGGGGTGAGGGGCCCAGAACTGAACCCCCTCAGCGAGGGGCGGCCTCCCCAGTGCCGAGCCCAGGGCTCAGATCCCTTCCCTGTCCCTGCTGGCCACACCAGCCAGGATGCCGTTGCCCTCCTTGGCCCCCTGGGCACACTCTGGCTCATTCTCAACCCCCCCCAGGTCCCTTTGGGATGGAGCTGATGCCACACAGGCTCTGTGCTGGCCCGGCGCTGTGCTGGGGTGTGTGGCACTGGGGACAGGGATGAGGATGGGGGTTTGGGGGATGGGGTGATCCCAATTCGAGCCTGCTGGGGCTGGGCAGAGCAGCCACGTCCCTGTGGCAGGAGGCAAGGAGCATCACAGGTGCTACGAGGATGCCAAGGGACCTTGGAAAGTGGGGAGCTGGCAGGACGATGCTCTGGGGATGAGGATAAAGGCTGCGATTTCTCACCTCGGTGCTGAGCAGGGCTGCTCGGTGCTTGGGTGACACGTGGGCAGCAACGTCCGCTCCTCTGCTCGGCTCCAGAGATGCCTGCACGAACACGGAGCTGCTATCAACATCCCGGAACCACATGGAAAATGTCAGGCCACTGAAAAACCTCCACGTCCCACCCCGGCCAGGCACCAGCATCGCACCACGGTCCTGCAGACAGGTCCCTCTCTGGCAGGAGCGAAGCCCAGACCCGCTCTCGGCCCCTGGGGTGTTACACATCAAGGGAGGAGAAACTCAAAGCTTGCCTATCTGGAGAGGATCTGAGCTTTTTGCATGCCCTAATTAAGCTTTGTTTGCCTCCCGGCACCTGCATGAATGCAATTAGTGATGATTTGAAAACCGCTTTGAAGATGAAAGGCTTTTTTTTCAGGCAAAACATTGCTGGTGAAACAGCTGGATGCTGAGACTCTGGCTCCTACAGCTTCCACCCCTTCCCCACAGAGGTGCAGTGCCGGGTCATGCCAAGGCATGACCTCCCCAAGCACCTTCTTGAGGGATTTAATTAACAAAGCTGCACAAAAGCCAGCGGTGGAGCTGGAGTCTGCCTGTCTCTCCTGCCCATCTCTACGCTTCACTGTGTAGCCAGGGAAGGGGCTCAGGGCACCTACATGGTGCAAGGAAGAAGTCCTCAAGGTTTCCAAGCCACCTCTGTCCTTGTTCTGCCCTGCTTTTATCCCTGCCCTGTCCCCAGGTGTCCCCCCCCCTCAGGCCATTCTGCCAATCTCTCCAGAATACGCAGCCTTCATTCTTGGGAATCGCCATCTTTTCTGTACCCTCCACACCACTATTTTAACGTATCTGGCCAAAAAAAACCTTGGCCAAATCCAGCCCCGCTGCTCGTGATGTGGCTGACCACATCCCCTGCCCCTTCCCCGTCTCCACGTGTCCTCCTAAACGCTTTCGAGCTTTGGGTTTTCAGGCTGTCTTTCAGAGAAGTGGCATGTTGCACCCCAAAGCCGGGATGATAATGATGACCTCCTTCATTTTGTTAAGCGCTAGTTTTAACAAAACTGGCCTAAATTCCATTAATTTTATTTTAAAAAGCTAGCACTCATTGCGGGTAAATTATTGCTACGACCTTACTACCAGTACTCCTGCCTTCAGGAGAGGCATCTTGCCCTGCTGTGTGAGATCATGGAGCAGATTCTCCCGGAGGACATGTTGAAACATAGGGAAGGCAGGGAGGTGATTAGAGATGGCCAACGTGGCTTTGCGTGACAAAGGTAGTGGCCTCCTGCGATGGAGTGAGTGCACTGGTGGACAAGAGAAGAGCTACAGATGTCACCTACCTGGACTTCTGTCAGGCCATTGCTGCTGCTAAATTGGAGAGAGATGGGTTTGATGGATGGACCGTTAGATGGATCAGGAATTGGCTGGATGGCCGTGTCCAGAGAGTTAGTCAATGGCTCAACGTCCAAGTGGAAACCAGTAATGAATGGTATCCCTCAAGGGTTTGTACTGGGACCAATACTATTGACTATCTTCAGCAGTGACATAGATGGTGGGATCGAGTGCTCTCAGCAAGTTCACAGGTGACACCAAGGGATGTGGTGCAGTTGGTTTCCTTGGGGACGGGCTGTCATCCAGAGGGACCTTGACAGGCTGGGGGAGTGGGCCCATGTCAACCTCATGGAGTTCAATAAGGCCAAGTGCAAGGTCCTGCACAGGGGTTGGGAATGAAGGGATGGAGAGCAGCCCTGAGGAGAAGGACTTGGGGGTACTGGTGGGTGAAAAATGAGACATGACCCAGCAAATGTGCCCTCGCAGCCCAGACAGCCAACTGTAAGCTGGGCTGTGTCCCAAGCAGCGTGGCCAGCAGGTCGAGGGAGGGGATTGTCCCCCTCTGCTCCCCTCTGGTGAGACCCCCCAGAGCCCCGCGTCCAGCTCTGGGGTCCCCAGCACAGGACAGACACGGAGCTGTTGGAGCGGGGCTGGAGGAGGGACACGGGAATGGTCCGAGGGCTGGAGCAGCTCTGCTGGGGGGAAAGGCTGAGAGAGCTGGGGGGTTCAGCTGGGGAAGAGAAGGCGCCGGGGAGACCTTAGAGCCGCCTTTCAATATAGAAAAGGGGCTTATAAAGACAGAGCAATGGTTTTAAAGTGGAAGAGAGTACATTTAGATTGGATATAAGGAATAAATATTTCACGAGGAGGGTGGTGAGGCCCTGGCACAGGCTGCCCAGAGAAGCTGTGGCTGCCCCCTCCCTGGAAGGGTTCAAGGCCAGGTTGGACGGGGCTTTGGGCAACCTGGGCTAGTGGAAGGTGGCCCTGCCCAGGGCAGGGGGGTGGGACTGGATGATCTTTAAGGTCCCTTCCAAGATGGTTCGATGTTCTCACCTCCCAGACCAGGCCAAAGGCTGCCACGAGTGCACCCAGACCAACCTACCCGAGGAGCTCAGCACCTTCTGCTGAACTTGGCCACATTTTTCTCAAATACCCAAAGACTCCTTCAATTCACAAACTACTGCTTGAACTGAGCCACATCCCAAGCTCTAAACTGGTTTTGTAAGGGGTTTTTGGTGCAAAAGTTTATAAAAACAAACAGAAATGTAGTTTTACACGATTGCATCCCGTTGGTGGATAGAAGTCTGCATTTGAGCATGGCAGCATGAAGCCCCAAACTCAGGCCATTATGAAACCAAAGCTAAGGGAGAAGCATGAAATAGGTGGGACAACACACAGGGTGACGGCTGTGAATACAGCAGCAACCAAACAGCAGAAATTGAGGTTGGTTGGGGGTTTTTTGGGAAAAAAAAAAAAAAGTTTATTTCTTCCCTAAAAGCTTTTCTTGGCATCGGTTCTGCAGTGGAGTTTCATGATCTGGAAGGACAAACCTCAGCTCTAAATTTGACTTTTTGTGGGTTTTTTTTTCATTTTGCTGCTCCTTAAATTCCCTGGCAGGCTTGTTTATCAGTTATTAATCCTACTGATAAAGTAAAAAAACTCAATTTCGGGAGCAGCCACAGCGACTCAGACGCCTGCCTGACCCTGCTGCATTAAACGGGCTGCGGAGAGGCGGGGAACACGACGGAGAAGACCACACCAAGAGGACACAAACCGCACAGAGATCTCCCTTTTGCCACCCTCCACCCCGCTGGGATGACTCCGCGTGACTATTTACACACGACAACCCCAAAGTGGGAATAAAAATCCATTTAATTTTCATAAACTCTGAAGTGATGAGACAAAGACCCAACAAGTAAAAACACCCACCCCGCCTGATGACACCGGGCACGGCAGCACGGATGTATTTTTTTTTTCTTCCTTTCAATAATTTGGCTAAGCAGGTGAAAATTTAATCCAAATCAGGTCAAGAGCTACTAAATTCATATCTGATGCCTCCGGTTATTTTAAGGCAGTGCTGGGAGCCCTCCCTGCTCCCGTCTCAACTCACGACGCACATCACGCCAGCAGCCGCGTCCTCCAACCCGTCGCCCCGTTGGCACCTCAACCCTCATCCCCGGAGCCTTCAGCTTCGTGAGGATGCTTGGATGATGGTACCTGTTTCAGCAGGTCTCTGTAGTCTGGGCATTCCCAGGCATGGGGCTGTCATGGGAATGATGGAGGTGGCCCTCTCCGGGGAGCCGCAGCTTCTTGGATGCCACCCAAGTGTCCCTGTCCCAATCCAGTGCATGAAAAAAGTTGTCTTAAACCAGCCCCAAACCTCGCCAGTTTAACAAGACTCTGTTTTGGCAGGTGGAAGGGCATCACCAGCTACTTCCAGGGCAGGATGTTTGCCCTTTGGCACGCCATGGAGTGGTCCCTGTCCAGCCAGACGTGCCCACCTCATCCCTGCTCTGAGATGTGGGGAATTAGCGTCACTTCCCCGCATCGTCCCAGCTCCTCACGGTGATGCCAAACAGGTCCCTCCCTCGTCCCTTCTCCCCATGGCATCGGGGGGGGGGGGGA